GGTGATTGGTGGGATTATGGACCTGGGGGGCGCGGGGGGGGGGGTAAACTGGCATAAAACCTAGAAGCAAAAGAATACCTAAAGTAAGATAAATAATTTGGTTTTGATTAAGTAAATGTGAAAGGCGTTTATTGCCTGTGGTTATGTTCCCAGTATGTTCCCAGTATGTTCCTATTAACTATATGGAATTTCTTCTTCATCTGTACAAGGTGCCAGAGTGTTGTTCCTCTGATCATCGTCAGCCACAGGGGGAAAATCAGCCCCAGGATTTCCATATAGTTTTAGATGACGTGTAACTCTTTTTTTATTACCCGAAATTGACTCATTTCGATCTTTTCTTTGCTAGAGAAACATGCAGCTTAAAGTAAACTTCAGATACGTTCAAAATCCATAAAATAGCCAAATGGGTCATATTGTCATTTAAAGCCACTCTGTACTGAGTTGTAACTTGCAGTAGTAAGGTGGCAGTATGGTAGCCGGTGTACCGTTGGGACCGTAATATACAGGGGTTCCGTTACTCCTAGAATGAGATCCTAATAGGTTGGACTTGATGGACTAATGTCTTTATTCAACCTCAAATACTATGTAACTATGTAAGGTGGCTCTTGCCTTTTAAAGGGGACCTTATGTGAAAATAGGTCTTCCCTCTATTTATTGGCCCAACCACGTGAAATCGTTTGGGGGGTGGGAGAATAATATGCAGGCAAATAGTACTTATTGCAGCCTGTTGGCCTAGCAGGCTGCAGGGGGGGGTGAGGGACGTCGCCTACTTCAAGGCAAATGGACCACAGGCTGATGTCTGTAGTAAGTGCCTTTTAATCTTGCTGCTAATTTTTTTCCCCCCACCTAGCAAATTTACTTGGGGATACTATTACGGTAATTAGCATTTAGTTTTGTTTTCATCCATTTTAAACTCTAGCGCAAAAGGGTAAACTATATAGCGACTCAACCCCCGACCAAGATGTGATTTATAGGGGAACTGCTGTTGCTCATTAAGTCTTCGTCCACCTCAATTCATAACGTATATGCTTACATGATCTGGGAAAGAGCTGCAAACTTTTATTACAAAAATAATAAACAAGCCGTTTTACGTGACACAACTGCTAACGCGTTTCAGCCACTCCCGGCCTTAGTCGCAGCTTTGACTAAGCCTGTGAGAGGCTGAAACAGGTTAGCGGCGGTTATGTTTATTATTTTTGTGATAAAGTTTTGGCGTTGGCAGCTGTGTGCCAGATCATAAAAGCATACACTTTAAAGGAGAACTATGAGATGAGTGATTTCCACTCACCTCATAGTTCTAGCCGACCTGTGACAATGAGACTGTCACAGGTCGGCTCAGTAGATCGGGAGGTGAGCGAACACATACCGGCGTTCGCTCACTTCTCCATCCTGTCACGGCTCTCTGCCGTGACAGGGGAGGGGCTGGATTTCCCCCTCCCTGCTCCGCCAGCGCTGACTGGCGGAACGGATGCGGGAGGGGGCGGGTACAGCTGGCTCTGCCTCTAGATAGGCAGAGCCAGCTGTCACTCACGCAGTTGGGCGGATCTCAACATCGATGTCTGGATCCGCTCTAGCTGCGGCGTCTCAGTATACCACGAGCTGTAGCTCGCGGTATACTGAGCTTAGGGTAACGGGAGGACGCTAGTTTGTGTCCTCTCGTTACCCTAAGGAGAACTATGGGGAAAAGCCCTAACCCCATAGTTCTCCTTTTAAGCTCTACATCAAAGCTGTATTTGCCAGAAATCCCTATGTAATCATCAAGTCACCAAACTCCCTTCTGCCCTCACTAAACAGTGCTCAGGCCTGATGATGGCTGTTAGGCACCAAGCGCTCAATTGTGGAAGACAAAGGGAGTGTCAGAAGTTTCCACGTACCCAGCAATACCGGTTTTCTTTTCACTGCACTCCAAGCACTGCTGCCTCGCTTCTCCAAGTTGCAGCTCAGTACAGAGTTGCTTAAAAGCAAAACTTCAGGCACAAAACGTAATCCCAGAATCTTGTGCCCTACATATACAGTATTTCCTACCATATGCTTCTTTTTTAATTTTATACATAAAACGGGAAGAAAAAAAAAAGCAGTGTGCCAAAATAGAACATGCTCATTATACATTGAGACCATACATAAGATTGTACAAGATGACATTTCTCATTGTTGTAATACAGATATTGCAAAGAGAATAAGCAAATGACAAAATAAAGTTTGTTTACCAGCCTAGATGTATAAGTGCATATCATTCGAACTTATTGAAAGGCACTACAGGTAATTCTATCAAACCACATGCATTATTGCGATACGCTAGCACAGGGCTCAAAATTTCAAGTCCTGAGCTACTAGCCAGGCCTTAAGAGTTACTCGCCACCAGTTGCCCCACCTAACCCTAACCCTGCCTTGGCCTTAACTCCGCCCCTAAACCCACCCTCTTAATTTATCTTATAAAATTATACTTTTAAATGTTGAAGGCAGAATAAAGTTACAAAAATAAATATTAACAACAACAATATTAAGATAAAGCAATGTAAACATTGCGGCCCTCCACATCCCCACATATAAAATAAATACCCCCCCCCCTGTTCTCTGCCTCCCCCCATATAAAATAATACCCCACCGTTCTCTGCCCCCACATATAAAATACTACCCCACCGTTCTCTGCCCCCACATATAAAATAATACCCCACCATTCTCTGCCCCCACATATAAAATAATACCCCACCGTTCTCTGCCCCCCACATATAAAATAATA